ACGTGCCCTCTTTAATACCCATCACCAGGCTAACCCATCCCCCCACACCCCTCCTCTCTAGAACCCTCAGTTTGTTTCTCAGAGTCCATAGTCTCTCATGGTTCATCTCCCCCTCTGACTTCCCCCCCTTCATTCTTCCCTTCCTGCTATCCTCTTTTTTTTTTTAAACATATAATGTATTATTTGTTTCAGAGGTACAGATCTGTGATTCAACAGTCTTACACAATTTTTAGTTATATAAGTAGTTCATACTCATATGAGCTCTAAAACCTAAATGTCCAGAAGAATTGAATTCCATATCACTTTTCCTTATTCTTTGGGATTCTAGGGATTAATTGCAATTGCAAGATTAAATTGCATTAGAATTCCGTGACTTGGCATGCCAGTTAGATATCTAAAGTGAAATATTATAGTCAGTAATCATAATTTTTATTATATGTATTCAGAAACCAACCATAATAGGGTATTTGGTTCTGACATATACAACTGATAAATCTGTTTTTGTACAGTCTTCTACTTGTGAAAGTACAGAATTATTTCAATTAGGAAACAAGTTTTGATCATCAAAATATCTGCTTGCATTTGACTCACTTGAACAGAACAAGCCTTTATATAACACTCTGAGTCCATCACTGTTGTAGAAGCTGAGTGATGTGAAGATTAATGAATCCTATCCCTGCCCAGCCTGGGCTTAAAGTCTGTGTAGGGGGATAAACACATAAATTATTATCAGTAGTTTATCATAATGATTGCTAATAAAATAGAATGGGAATACAGAGGAAGCAATTCATTCTGTTTCATCTTGATTCCTATCTAGTTACATCAAAATGTTACAATATAAAGTGTGTCAGCTAGGAAATATAAGGGTCGATTGGGAACTGTTTGGAACTGGCATATATGTCCATTGGCATGTCCTGTCAATGGGGCACAGGGTCCAGACCTGGGCTCTTTGGGACAAGTGCAGTTCTTCAGCTAAGAAATAAACAGAACTTGGAAACTGAAGATTCTGGAAGGTCTGACCAAAAAAGTGGGTGTGTTCATCAGTCAGAAAACTATTCCTTAAGTATATATTTTCTTGATGACCAGGAAGAGGTGTTGATGATTCTTACGCTCTTCATTAAGAATTCAGACTCACTACCTGAACCAAAATAATTACTTATCATAGAGCAGCTGCAGGTCAGAATCCTTGGTGCCACAGAGATCCCCACTGGGATCAAGATTCAAATGTCCCCAAATGCCAAATGAAGCAAGCTGCATATAAAACATGCCTAAGTCCAGAGAATACTGTGGATTTTATTATAACATGAAGTCAAACTGTAATTTTAACATTATTTTAATAAAAACTAATTTATATGTATATAAATTATGCATGTAAGTATCCTATCGGAGTATCATGTGTACATAGGTATGTAATGACCATATAGAAGCAGCATATATCTATGTGAATATAATTTCTATATATGAGTGACACTGGAAATAGGTGCTGACATGTGACAAAACAATAACCACTTAATTATCACTCTCTAAAAGAGGTGTAAAGTCTCTTATGTTATCTTTATATCTAATCACATTTAATAAGTGTCTGTGACAGACACAAAATTGCCTGCTGTTCACAAAACTACAAATCAATAAATTGTGTTAATTTGTTGAATTTTAACATTCTCTGTTCAATGAATTTTTTTATAAATTCTTGCTTATACAAAAGGGGAAGATTTTCACCTATATATTTGAAATATACAGTGCTATATCTTGCATATATTTTTGCATTTTTTTGGCTTTAGTATTATAGGGAATAAATTTTTAAAGAAAGTATCTTTTCATTTTAAATGGCACTATTGGGGCACCTGGGTGGCTCAGTTGGTTAAGCATCTACCTTTGGCTCAGGTCATAATCTCGGGGTCCTGGGATGGAGCCCCACATCCGGCTGCCTGTGGAGTCTGCTCCACTCACACCTCCCCATCCCCGTGCACACACTCTCTCTCTCTCAAATAAATAAAATCTTTTAAAAGAATAAAATAAGTTGTACTGTTAATTTAAAGACAAAGATTCTCCTTAACACGAATGATCTCATCACATGAATCTCCATCTTGTGGTTGTTTTTATGTCCTATGTTGAAGCTACATGTGCATCAAATCTTTTACAATTAAAAAAACCAAGCAGTACACATGAACTTTTAATGAATAGACTGGAAAATTACTAATCAGTATGAACATTTGAGAGGTGGGGCCATGCCTACGAGAGACACAGAGAGAAGGAAGTATCAAGACAACTGGTAAATCATGTGATTAAGAAAAGAACATCTTCACCAGGGCTTGGTGAAAAGAAAAAGAAAAGGAAACTTTAAGGACTTCACGAATTCTAATCTCTTTCTGAGCTTTCGTTCCTTCCAGGAACTTTTAGGAGGACAGAGAGAAGAGGCGAGGAGAAGACAGGAAAAGAGAAGACAAATGAGGGACAAAGAAGGGGAAAGTGAAGTGTGTGCCCACTATAAAGTGAGAAGACATAACAAAATAACCACAATGGGAACAAACACATATAAGCTGATATTTATCAAAATATGTCCTGATTTTGCTGTAATGGGGAAAAGTAGAATTGTAATTCCCAACCATTTTCCTAAATATGATTCCTATCCTATAAATGCTGATTTACTTTATTTACTTTATTGAAGTGAGACAGATTTTTGTACGTGGAAAGCCTCAATTCTGCTGATATGCAGTATATGTATTCTCCATTCCAAATAATACTTCTTAAAGTGAAAAGTTACTGGAAAAAGGGGTCAGTATTCTACTGGGTAAAGCGAACGAACTAGTCAGCATGCCTCTCATGAAGTTTTTTGGAGGCTTGTTTTCTTAAATCATTCTGGCGACTGAATCCCTTCCTTCAGGTCACACTATGGGTCATTTTCAGAAAGTTAATGTGACAGAGTGGTAATTGATGTGTCTCAGGAAAATGATGAATTAATCTAAGAGTGGAAAGGCCATCAAAGTCAATTCCTAATGAATTGACTTTTCTGACAGTGTCCATTCCTTGAGTAGGAATGACATTATATTTATTTAGTTTAGTAACTTTACCCTCAGAAATATTTTCATTCAGAGGTTTCGCAGGCAAACCTACGGATTTGTTAACTTTTCCTCATTCACATTTCTTTTTCAAAATCTTCTTTGCTCATAAAATTATTGAATAATTTAAGAATAAAAATAATATCTATTCTTAAACTGTTATAAAATAGTAATAATTTAAATATAGAATAACATAATTTGATGTTATTAGATAGGGTCCTTTCATGTTTTTCTTTAACTGTTCTCACATAGCTTTGCTTCCTGAGCTATACTAGAAATTTTAATTTTTAACATGGTGATCAGTAAAACTGTGTATTACGGTAGAGAATTTTGGATATATGGCAGTTTTTAACCCTTTCATATGTGGAATATATTTTGTATATAAAAATGAAAATAATTCATTTTGAAGAATGCCTTCTTTGTAGCAAAACACTAAGCTACACATGGGTGTCTTTTATGAATTGATAATTTAGTTATTTCATGAAACTTAGAAACGCATCCATGATTTTGTATACATTTTAACGAAAGTCCATGGGATTGTATGGGTTGAGCAGAACAGTGTTCTTTTCCCCAAGAATTTCTGAAGTTACCAGAGATAGACTCTTAAGTACTGTTTATGAATGTCATAAGGAGGTATCTACTGAAAGTTCCTATTGGATTGAAATAAATCAATTTACTACACAATAGGGTGACATTTTCTCTGATATGACTGCCCTCACTCACCCTTAAAT